TTCCTCACACTACACAATCCCAGCTCCTTCAGCCGCTCTTCATATGATTTGTCTTCTAGGCCCTTCCCTAGTTTCGTTGCCCTCCTCTGCCCTCACTCCAGCACCCCAGAACCCTCGGGGGCTGATGTTGGACCTCGCTGGTGGGAGCAGAAACTCCTGGGAGCAGAAGAGCCACCTCCAGCCAGCTCAGAGCGAAAGCAGCAGCTCGTCCGGAAGGAGCCTTGTGGCTGCTGCCAGCGCCGCCGGCCTCAAGTGGTGGTTTTTATTTTTTTTTTTTTTTTTAGTTTATTGAGGGAGTAGGATTAAAGCAATACATTATGGCTATGACGCTCCAAAGCTCTAGGTGTATCAAATTGTTACACTTTTTTGACAATTTTGTGTGTCTGCTAGGTGTGTGGGTCCCTCCGCTCAAAAATTCTGCTTCATCTGCATTTGGTGTCTTCCATCATGTTCTGATAATCAAGCCAGTGTTTAGTGGATGGTGGCACCTGAGACCTCCCCTCTCTGTCTCAGGCCGCTTTTTTTTTTTTTTGTCTTTTTTGCAGATGAAAGAGGGAGATGCTGAGCAGGGTTTTGCACCTCGCCTTCCCAGCGGTGACACCCCAAGAGCTGAGACACCAAAAACCCCACCACCACAGGGAGGGGGGGGATGCAGCGGGGACGGGCTGCACCCAGGTGGTGGTGGAGGGTCCCAGGAGACCTTCCCCCCCAAGCCCCACCACCTGGGGGACGCTGTTTGGGGACACGGGGGGGTGGGATGGTGGCACCTGAGACCTCCCCTCTCTGTCTCAGGCCGCAGCAGGAATGTAAACAGGCAGAGGAGACACCCAGCTCCGCGGGGCGTTCACGACTTATCTCACAATCAACAGAAGAGAAGAAAAATCCGTCCTACCAAGGCTGAGCTGACTCTCTCCCCCCCTCCCCGCCCTGTGACGAGCCCCCAGCTCGCCAGGAGCAGCAAAATGCTGCCCATCCACATGCCAGCGGGGTCAGAAGGATCATGGTCTTTTGTATTATTATTATTATTATTTTTTTTTAACTTAAAAGCCCTCAAGTGCAAACACCCGCAGCGTAACGGAGGGGTGAGTATCACCCCAGGCTTTCACTTCCCAAAGGATGAGCGGAGAAGGGAGGGGAGGAACTCCCAGCCAGGAAGAGGGACTGTGAAACACCCCCCCAGTTGGGGTCAGATCCTGCCCCCACGGACCCGGAGTGACTCAGGATATGGAAAAGTCTCGTGCATGGATAGATGGGATGGGGGGTGTCGCCTGGTGCTGTGTTTTTTCCCCAGCAGAATATATTTTCATGGGGCTTCTCTGGATTAACTCCTCCCTGAGCGTGGGGGTGGGTGGATTTTGCAAAGCTGGGGGGTGTTTTTTGACCTCAGGGTGTGGTTTTTTTACCCCAGGGTGGTTTTTTACCCCGGGGTGGTTTTTTACCCCGTGTGTTTCGGAGCCAGGGGCAGCCGAGAAGCGGCACCTCCTGCCCCCACCTGCCAGAGAGAGCTGGGGCTGCAGGAAGGGGGGGTTCCAAGGGGGGGAACGTGGAGCCCCCCCAGCCTGGGTTTATTGTCAGGAGGTGTTTCAGACACATCCTGCCGTGCCCCCCAGCAGCTGGCTGTCCCCCCGGGGTGGGCAGAGGGGGCAGGAAGCCGAGGGGCGAGCTCGGTGAGGATGTTGGGCGAGCTGCTTTCCTGCTGCACGACCTTCCCCCCCCCCTTCAACCCCCACCAGGATAAAGAAAAAAGAAATACAAATAAAGGAGGTCAACAAACTTCAGAGCCCGGCTCCGCAGGACACCAGTGGAGATCAACCCCCCGTGTCTGCTCTGTCCACAGCCCCCACCATCTTTTTTGAGGGGAAAAATGGTTAGGGGTGGACCTGCTGGAGACAACTTCTGAAGAGAAAGATCTAGGGGTCCTGGTGGACAGCAAAATGACAATGAGCAAGCAGGGTGCTCTTGTGGCCAAGAGGCCAATGGGATCCTGGGCTGTGGAGGGAAGAGTGTGGCCAGGAGGTGGAGGGAGGTCATTCTCCCCCTCTGCTCTGCACTGGGGAGGCCACAACTGGAATACTGCGTCCAGTGCTGGGCTCCCCAGTTCAAGAGGGACAGGGAACTGCTGGAGAGAGTCCAGTGAAGGGCAACGAAGATGATTCAAGCATCTCCCTTATGAGGACTGAGAGAGATGGGGCCCTTCAGTCTGGAGAAGAGAAGGCTGAGGGGAGACCTTATTAATGCTGACAAGTATCTCAAGGGAGGGTTGAAGGAGGAGGGAGCCAGACTCTTCTCAGTGGTTCCCAGTGAGAGGACGAGGGGCAACGGGCACAAGTTGGAACAGAAGAGGTTCCACTCAAATATGAGGAGAAACTTCTTCACAGTGAGGGTGGCAGAGCCCTGGCAGAGGCTGCCCAGGGAGGGTGTGGAGTCCCCTTCTCTGGAGATCTTCAAGCCCCCCCTGGATGCTCCTGAGTAACATGCTCTGACAAGCTCTAGGCAATCCTGCTTCAGCAGGGGAGTTGGACTAGATGATCTCTATGGTCCCTTCCAACTCTAAAATTCAGTGAAATTCAGTGAAATGGGTCCCCTGGGGATGCTGTCCTCGATAATAAGCACAATGCTGTTCCTGGGGCAAGGAGGGAGGGTGAGAAACCCTGCTCAGCCACCCTGGAAATATTTGCAACTGCGTAATGCAGGGGGTACCCGAGGATCCTGGTCTTGGGGACATTTCCTACAGCTTCTGGATGTCACCACTGGCTTCTAGGGGCTGCCAGGCAGAGCAAAGCCATCAGCCTGGTAAACTTCTCTGCCAGGATTATCCTCCTTACCAAAGATCGAGATAGGGATCTCTCTCCGCCTACGATGGACCAGGCCCCTGGGCTGGAAGGGTTTGATACTGATTTCTTTAGAAATCCCTGATGGGGGGGGGAAATACACCCCCCCTTCCAACACACCCACCCCATTCCAGCCTCCAAACCCCGTGCAGCAGCTCATCCCACTGTTGGAAAGGACCTTGCTGGGAAAGGCAGGAGACCAAACCCCGTGCAGCAGCTCATCCCACTGTGGGCAAGGACCCTGCTGGGAAAGGCTGCAAGATCCACAGGCAGGAGAGTCACAGGATGGTTTGGGTGGGAAGGGACCTTAAAGCCCCCCCAGTGCCACCCCCTGCCCTGGGCAGGGACACCTCCCACCACACCAGGTTGCTCCAAGCCCCCTCCAACCTGCCCTTGAACCCCTCCAGGGATGGGGCAGCCACAGCTTCTCTGGGCAAAAAAAGCCCAGATGTGGGCCAGTGTCACCCCCTGTCCTGCTGGGAATGTTCCCAGCCTCTCCCCAGCTCCTCCCCTGCCCACTGTCTATCTCCAAACCCCATGTCCATGTGTCCTTCCTCCCCTCTGGGGGTGTAGAAGGGTGTACCAACAGCCCCACAGCTGCTTTTCCTTCCCTCCTGCAACCCCAGGATGGGACCAGACTCAATGTGGAGATGTGACGGCCAGGGGAGCGAGGCAGGGGCACACAGCACCTTCATCCTCCTCCTCCTCTTCCTCCCCTCCAGCCTCTCTGCTGCCCTGGGACCCAGCCAGGCTTTTGCAGGCTGCCAGCAAGGTGTTGGGTGGCTCTGCGTGTTCAGCCTGCAAAGCCACTCAGCTTGGTGACATCTGAGCTGAGCAAGAATGGTCCTCACCTGCCCCAAACAGCCCAGGTGTGGTTGGAAACACCTTGGAGTTGATGGGCACCACGGGGACACGGGCACCATAAGGGTGCTCAACCAGCTCAGAGCTACCTCCAGGCCACCCCAGGGCTACGTGTCTGGAAAGCAGAGAGCCCCAGAGAGGGACCCAGGGGACAATCCAAGCTCCTGGGACCCTGCAGCAGCAGGAGGTGACGGAGACGTGGCTCTCACCTGGTGGTAGTGTCAAACTCAAAGGGAAAAATGATGTGGTTGCTGTTGCAGATCTGGCAGATGAAGCCCCGCTGGGTGCAGAGGTCGCAGTTGTAGACGTGATGGGAGGCAAACTGGATCAGAGACTGCAGGAAGGTCTCGAAGACGCCGTCGGCGATCTGTGGGGCAGAGCCACGTCAGGCAGGCACGGAGCCCGTCTGCTGCTGGGTTTGCACCCTGCAAAATCCCTGTTAGACCCACCCTTTGTGCTGCCACGTGAGGACAAGGCTGTCCTCCAACAACACCCCACGTGTCTGGGTGGCAAGGGGAACCCAGGGAGCACCAGTAGCAGCACCCACCACCGTCCAGGACAGGGCTCCTGGCTCTGGAGTCGAGGTGAAATCCAACTACCCGTCACCTCCAACGTTATTTGCATTAGATACAAGTTTGTACGGGGACCCAGCAGCAGCTGTGCTGGCTTAAAGAGGTGAAAAAATTTCTCTTGTGTGATCTCAGAATCACAGAATCTTAAGATTGAGGCAATGGAGAGTCAAGTCTGTAACGTCTGATCTGGAGACAGAATCACAGAATCACAGAATCTTCTAGGTTGGAAGGGACCTTAAAGATCATCTTGTCCAACCATCAACCTAAGTTTGACAAAAATAGTCACCCACACAACAAACAAAAAGCATCACCATCACTAAACCATACCTCCCAGCACTACATCAACCCATCTTTTGGACACCTCCAGGGATGGGGCCTCAACCACCTCCCTGGGCAGCCCATTCCAATGGCTGAGAACTCTTTTGGTTATCTCCATAGTTCTTGGAGGACACAGGCTTGTGCCAATGATTTTGGCAAATTAAAATAAAGGCAATTATTTGCCTTTAAGCTGATGGGCGAGCAGACATGCAGAGTGCACGTGATGGATGGGAGCAAGGGAAAAGGAACACAAAACTGTCTGAAACCCATAAAATGCCACGCTTGACAGAAATGGGGATGTTTTTACCAGCAAAAGCCCTACGGGCACGCAAAGCTCTCACCTGCCTCAGGTCAGCGACGCTGTACTTGTGGGGACACTCCAAGAGGTAGTGCCGGTGATCAAGCCTGCAAAGAAGCAGAGAGAAGAAGGTGGTAGATGATTTCCCACCCCCCCTCCAGTTTTGGAGCAAAGAGGAGTCCGGGTGACGCAGACTCCTGAAGAAAAATCACTTGAGTTTTGCATTGTGCCACACATCCCAGTGTGAGATCGTGTGAGAACGTTTCAAAGCAGGGGGGGGGAAAAAAGAAAATAAATCTCCCATCTATTTTCCCAGGTGTTTCCTGTCCAGCCAGAAGCTCCTCGGTCAGGAAGGTGTTTCCTGAGTCACATCTCAACCAGCCAACAGCTGGATAACTCCTTACAGCAGACGACATGGAGCTAAAAACCAGCCCAAGCCCTGGCAGTGTTGATCTCAGCTTGAACGGTGAGCGATGGGGGGGACCAGGGGACCATCAGGGGGTGCAAAGAGGAGAAGTGTCACCCAGGGAGGGCCCTCACCGCTTGCTCAGCTCCTTCAGGGCCCCGCTGCGGCACATGATGAGATAATCCCCCAGCAGCTTCAGCTGTTCCCTGCTCCGGTGGATCCGTCCCATCCTCTCCACGTGGTCGTAGAGGCTCTCGTTGACCAGCTTCAGGTCGATCAGGGGCTGGTTACGGATCTGGGTGAGGAACTTGAAGGCCTGGCGGCAAACCTGGGGGGCAAAGAGAGGCAAGAGGTGGGCATGGACCAAGGAGCAGCCCAGGAAGCTTGGAGGAAGGTGGAGAATCATAGAATCATAGAATTGTCCAGGCCGGAAGGGACCTCCAAAGGCCATCTAGTCCCACCCCCCCGCAGTCAGCAGGGACACCCCCAACTAGACCAGGTTGCCCAGGGCCTCGTCGAGCCTCTCCTTGAATATCTCCAGGGAAGGGGCCTCAACCACCTCCCTGGGCAACCTGTTCCAGTGCTCCACCACCCTCACAGTGAAGAACTTTCTCCTAATCTCCAATCTAAATCTGTTCCCCTCCAGCTTGAAGCCATAGGTGTAGGGTGGACATTTCCACCTCTGCTGATGGTGGAAGTGGTCGGATGGACCTTCAGGAAGCATAGGCAGATGCAGGAGAGTTTCCCTGCTCCCTGCACCGACGGAGCCCAGACTCACCCCTCGTTTTGTCAGATCCCAGTTGTGGATGAGGCGCGAAGGAATGACCGTCTCCTCGTCCCGGTGGCAGCTGTCGCAGTAGTAGAGACCGGAGAAAGCACAGAGCTTGGGCTTCCCAAAGGAGAAGCCGATCTGCCTGGAGCAGCCTGCAGGGAGCAGGGAACGAGGAGATGAGAGAGGACCCACGCTGCCCCAGGAGCCCGTTCCCATCACCGCCAGGTCAGGGGGAAAAGCTTTTGGGAGGGGGGAGTGGAGCAAGAAAGTTTTTGGAAGGGTTGGAAATCACTTATAGGAGGTTTGGTGAGAGGTCCCTAGACCCTTCCCTACGGATTTAAGACCACAATAGTCCAACAGGAGCCACTTGACTTTTTCCTCTATAAAAAAAGGAGGCTGGACTATCCCTGAACCCATTTATATCCATCCACACAATTGTTTTTGGGGGTTTTTTTTGGTACTTTTTTTAGGGAAAGTGACTTCTGGAAACATCCCAGTGGTTTAGGGAAGAACCTAAATCCCACCTGCCCCATCGCCTCCTCCCATTGCTCTGCCCCATTTTGCCTTCACTCAGCCCTTCTCTTCTCTGCTGCTGGGTACCAAAACCCCATCTGCAAGGGACCCTCCTCTGCAAGGGATGAGGCTGGGATAAATTAAGCCAAAAAAAGCCTTTATTACAGGGGTAGGTAACCCAGAAGGAACCCAGCTTGGGTCTGAGGGGAAATCTGCAGGGTTTTTATAGCAGCTTGAAAAGCAAGAGCATCCCACTTGGAGTCAGGAAGGCAGGAAAACCCCCTTTGTGCTATTTTTAATGGGGTCAGTTCTCTAAAATAACTCATCAGGAGTAACCAAACCCCTGCCATTCTCAGGGAAGGTTTCAGCACCCCATCCTTCATGCTCTGAGGGAGTTGGAGCAAATCCCATAGGAAAAAAAACAACCTCATGAAGGTCAGGTTATGCTCTTGGAATTAATGAAAAAAAAAAAAAGAAGCTTTTATTGCTCATTACACCCTGACACGTAAGGAAACCCCTCCTACGCCGGGCGTGGGTGTCAGGCTGGGTGAAAGTGGGGCAGGGAGCCCCCTAAAAAAACCTAGACATAAAAAAAAATGGGAATCTGTCTTTTAAACTTGCTGCTTCCATCCGTTGGCAAGTGGAAGAGGCAGGACAAAGCCTGGAGGGGAAGGTAGAGACCAAACAATGGAAAAAATATATATGAATAATAGAAGAGAGATTAAAATAAAAAAAAAAAACCAAAACAAAACACCTGCTGGAGGGTACAAGAAATATAATTGAAGCAGGAGAGAAATCTGAAGTTTAATTAACTTCCCAATGTAAAGAGCAAATTATACCTCCCGTGGAGGTCAATGAGTGTTACCCTCCCAGCCCAGCGTCGCCCCGTGTGCCGAGAGGCGTTAGTGGAAGGTGAAATGAATGTTTTGTAAAATCAGGTTGTCACACCCATTGCAATATTCCCTCCCGTGCTGCGTTACCGGAAAAACAGCTTTGGCTCTCGATTGCACTTTCCCCGGAGGCTGGGGCCATAAAATACCCAGGAAGAGACTCCCGGGCGTCTTGGTCCATCTAAGGTCCTTCAAAAGTCAACTCCTACCACTGTCTATACCATAAAGATCTTAACCAGGAGCCCAGTTGGGTGGTGGGGTGAGATGGGGACTTGGCGTGGGGGGACGCACCCTGCACATACAGACCACCAAAGGTGCTGCTGATCTGGGAGGTGAAGCCCCACCAAGGGGGCTTTGGGTGGGGAAACCAGAAGCTGGTCCTGCAATGGGTTGGCAGGACTCAAGGCAACTCTTTAATTAACCTCATTAACCTGAATGAACGCAACAATGTCCTCCAAGAGGGAGCTGGGCGTTGGACAAGCCAATGGGTACCTGCACAGATGAAGCTCTGCGAGTCCAGGCCCTTCTCCGTAGGGATGGCCACCAGGTATTGCAACAAGAACCCGTTCTCCTTCACGATGTTCTTCAGGACGACCTGGGAGTGTCCATCCAAGCTGCCACCCAACGTCAGGGCCTCCTCGGCGCTCTCCAGGTAGGACATGAGCACCCCACGGACCAGCTCCCTCCACGAGGCAGCTTCTTCTGCGTTCTCAGCCTGCAGCTTCAGGACAGCTTTGGAGGTGATCACCTTGAAGAACGCGGGTCCCCCAAGGCTCGTGTCCGGAAGGATGTCCTGGATGGTCTCTATACCATAACTGTTGCTTAAAATTTTATCATTGTTTCTGATTTTAAAGCACTTTAAAGTTTCTAGAGAGAGGGAGAAAATAAAAGGGACCCAAGTTTTGTCGACGTCCACGTACAGAACAGCCTCTTTTATGGCATCCAGCTCGGGTTCAGGAACTGGAGTCCAGTCAAAGCCATTCCCAGGCACGTTGCTGTACTGGAGAAGAGCCGCGGAGTCGTTGGGGACGGGCTGGCCTTCACCACCATCCTCTGAATACTCCAGTGTCTCCCACTCCTCCTCCTCCAGCTGAGGCCGGCACTTGTGCAGCGCCTCACGGATCCTGTCCAACCAGTCCTCGGCCTCGTCCCGGGAAGGAGCTCGCAGGGAGAGCTTTTTCCCCAGGAAAACCAGCTCGAAGCGGCCGTCCGAGTGCGTCAGCGCCAGCGACTCGCAGCGCAGCAGGGAGTAGCTCTCCACGCAGATGCGGTCCTCGTGGTCCAGGAAGAGCCGGAGCTCCAGCGGCGACAGCTCGCAGGAAAACTCCTTCCAGATCCCCATGGCTCCTCTCCTCTCCAGGCTGCCCAGCTTCAGCAGCCCTCGGAAAGGGTTGGAAAGACCTGGGGGAGAAGCAGAGGTCTCAGTTTAAGGGAAAAAGGGGAAGCTGGTGGAGAGAGAAAAGCCAATGGGTGTCTCGGAGTGAGCAACCAGAGGCATCAGGGCTTCAAGAGCTCATCCTGGTTGATGGTGGGATGGTGGAGAGAGAAAAGCCAATGGGTGTCTCGGAGCGAGGAACCAGAGGCATCAGGGCTTCGAGAGCTCATCCTGGTCGATGGTGGGATGGAGCAGGAGTCTACAGGACCTCCAGGTCTCCAAAACCTCTCTGTAGGCATTTGGGTTTTGAGGCTGAGAAGGAGTGGGATGGTATAAAGGAACCATGTCCTATGGAGGTATGGTTTAGTGATGATGTTCCTTGTTTGTTGTGTGGGTGTCTATTTTTGTCAGTTAGGTTGATGGTTGGACAAGATGATCTTTAAGGTCCCTTCCAACCTAGAAGACTCTGTGATTCTGTGATTCTACAGGACCTCCTTGCTCCATCTCCAAAACCTCTCTGCAGGCATTTGGGTTTTGAGGCTGAGAAGGAGTGGGATGGTATAAAGGAACCATGTCCTGCGGGGTGGACAGGGAGAGCCAGCATCCCTCCTCTCCTCCTAAAATGCTTCCCACTAGAGCCACCGTGGGCTCAGTGATGCCAGGAGAAGGAGAGAAAAGCCAATGGGTGTCTCGGAGCGAGGAACCAGAGGCATCAGGGCTTCAAGAGCTCATCCTGGTTGATGGTGGGATGGAGTAGGAGTCTACAGGACCTCCAGGTCTCCAAAACCTCTCTGCAGGCATTTGGGTTTTGAGGCTGAGAAGGAGTGGGATGGTATAAAGGAACCATGTCCTGCGGGGTGGACAGGGAGAGCCAGCATCCCTCCTCTCCTCCTAAAATGCTTCCCACTAGAGCCACCGTGGGCTCAGTGATGCCAGGAGAAGCAGAGAAAAGCCAATGGGTGTCTTGGAGCAAGCAACCAGAGGCATCAGGGCTTCGAGAGCTCATATTAGTCAATGGTGGGACGGGGCAGGAGTCTACAGGACCTCCAGGTCTCCAAAACCTCTCTGCAGGCATTTGGGTTTTGAGGCTGAGAAGGAGTGGGATGGTATAAAGGAACCGCGTCCTGCGGGGTGGACAGGGAGAGCCAGCATCCCTCCTCTCCTCCTAAAATGCTTCCCACTAGAGCCACCGTGGGCTCAGTGATGCCAGGAGAAGCTGCCCGACTGCCTTCTGCAGCTTTCAGCGCTGCCATAAGCTCAGCAATGGCACATTGTGAGTCCCAAACATCACCCAAAACACCCCCCAGCCCCTGCCCAGAGAAGACACCCAGTGACAGGAAGAGAAGGGAGGGTGACACGTACCCATCTGCCTGCGGTGCACGACGCTGAAGCCTTTTTGTTCCCGTTCAGGTGACGTTTTGGGCTTCTCACTCTCCGAGGACGGCACCGACAGCCTTTCCAAATCCAGGGCACTAATGAGCCCCGGGGCCAGACCCTCACCAGCCCCCTCTGGCCCAAAGCCGTTGGTGTCGGCCCTGCTTTCGGTGCTGTCACCCGGAGAAGGTCTGTAGAAATCATCTTCTGAGATCCAGCTCTTTCTTTTCTGTTCCAAAAAAAAAAAAAAAAAGAAGAAATATATTAATTAATAAACTTATCGAGCATCCTGTGCCTCTCAAACACATCTGCCCTCCACGGGGGCTGCTCCTGAGCAGACTGAACCCCAGGCAGCGATGCTGGGTATTCCCACAGGGATGGCTCCTCTGGTCCCCCTGGCCAGGGAATGCTCCTGGGATTGTGTCAGCAGCTGGCAAATATTTGAATTATACATTAGTCAGAGTATGAAGTCCTAAATCGATCAGTTCTTTCCCCCTAAAATCATAGAGGGGCTCAAAGGGAGAGCACAATCCCTGCAGTGACCATACAGAAGGTACTTGGTCCACAAATTATTTGTGACAGAAGGGGAGAAACCAGTCCTGCCATGGAAGGGTACGAGGTCACCTGGAGCAGCAGTGACATCCTTGTTCCAGGAAGAGGAGAGATGGGGAGAGGTACAGAGAAGATGTACAGGATGAAATAAACCTCAAGGGGCTCCAGGAGAGATGGGGAGGGACTCTGGATCAGGGAGGGGAGCCATAGGAGGAGGGGGAAGGGTTGGACCCTGAAAGAGGGGAGATGGAGCTGAGATGTGGGGAAGAACTTGTTTGGTGTGAGGGTGGTGAGAGCCTGGCCCAGGTTGGCCAGAGAAGCTGTGGCTGCCCCATCCCTGGAGGGGTTCAAGGGCAGGTTGGAGGGGGCTTGGAGCAACCTGGTGTGGTGGGAGGTGTCCCTGCCCAGGGCAGGGGGTGGCACTGGATGGGCTTTAAGGTCCATTCCAACTCCAAACCTTCTATGACCTGTGGCTGCCCCATCCCTGGAGGGGTTCAAGGGCAGGTTGGAGGGGGCTTGGAGCAACCTGGTGTGGTGGGAGGTGTCCCTGCCCAGGGCAGGGGGTGGCACTGGGAGGGCTTTAAGGTCCCTTCCAACTCCAAACTTTCTATGATTCTTTGAAATAGAGACACTTTGTCTTAGAAACAGATGCTACAAACACCAGGTCTGATTCGTACAGGCAAAAAGTAAGGCAGAGCAGGCAGAGGAAACCTTTGTCTGTGGACGTCAGGAGGGGATGAGACCCACAAGCAGAGGAAAGCTCATTAAGCAGAAAGAAAACACAGCTGTTAACTTCTCCAGGAGTTTTTCTGGCTACAAGAATGGAATAATGTTCTGGGATGAGGTCCCCAAACACACACCGGGAGCAAAACATGATGCAGCTCAGTGCTCTGGCAGAAGGGAGAAGCTTCCTGAGACCCAGCGCGTCCCTTCCAGGGCTGTGTCCCACCAGGAACAACCTCTCAGCCACCCTGCCCTGCTTTCCAAGAGCCTTTTATTCCAAATAATGAACTTAAAGGGTAGCAGAAGAGCTGTCACCACCCTGCAGTGAGGATGACGAGTGGCTCGTGGTGGATGTATAGGCAGGCTGGGCTGACTCCCGGAGCAGGAACGCAGGTTATTCCGTGAGTCAGGCAAAAGCAGGGGGGGGAATTTCCTGTTGACACCGTATGTTATACATAGATTAGGTCAAACTGGCCCGAGGCCACGAGGAAGCAGCGGAAACGGGAGAACTGGGAGGGAGCACAAAGGAACAGGGGAGCAAAAAGAGAAACCGTTTTTTTGGGGGGGCTGTGAAGTAAACCCTAACGCCAGCAGGGTGGAAACAATGGGAAGAGGGACGGAAACGAGAGGAACCAGGATGGAAAAGTCAGTAACAAATGATACAGAGGATTGGGCTGTTCAAAGAGCTTCCCAAAAGCGAGTGGATCATCTCCTCGGTGGCAGCAGGGGAAATCCGCCCCTGTTGAAACCCTGAGCACCAGGGAATGCCATCCTGCCCCGGGACCAGATGTGCTGCCTGAATATTTTTCCACTGGAAAACTGTAATTTGTTTCCTGTCCAGTCAACCCTTGTCCCTCTCTGGCAATAAACAAAGAAAAAAAGTCCCCAGGAGAAGCCCGACCCTCAGGCTGTTTTATCTGCTCGCACACAGATTTGTGCAAGAGCTCATCTCTCTCCAGACACCGTCAACTAAACCAAAAACTTCCTGCCGCAGCCGCGCTCGGTGAGGAAGGACTGACAGCCCAGGAAGGCTTTCAAAAGCCATAGTGACTATTTCACCAGGAAATATAGATTTCAACCCAATTTCTCCCAGGGTGGCCGCATGGACACATCTCCACGGGGTCCAGGAGGATGCTCATGGAGCGGGGAGCATCCCGTATACCCAACTTGCTGGAAAAGGCACAGAAAATCACAGAATCACAGAATCTTCTAGGTTGGAAGGGACCTTAAAGATCATCTTGTCCAACTGTCAACCTAACTTTGACAAAAATAGACACCCACACAACAAACAAGGAGCATCATCACTAAACCATACCTCCCAGCACTACATCAACCCGTCTTTTGAACACCTCCAGGGATGGGGCCTCAACCCCCTCCCTGGGCAGCCCATTCCAAGGGCTGAGAACCCTTTCAGTGAAAATCTTTTTCCTAATATCCAGCCTGAACCTCCCCTGGGGCAACTTGAGGCCATTTCCTCTCGTCCTGTCGCCTGTGACTTGAGAAAAGAGACCGACCCCCACCTCTCTACACCCTCCTTTCAGGGAGTTGGAGAGAGCAATAAGGTCTCCCCTCAGCCTCCTCTTCTCCAGGCTGAATAACCCCAGCTCCCTCAGCCTCTCCTCATAAGACTTATTCTCCAGACCCCTCACCAGCTTTGTTGCCCTTCTCTGGACCCGCCCCAGCCCCTCAATGTCTTTTTTATGGTAGGGGGCCCAAAACTGGACACAGTACTCAAGGTGAGGCCTCACCAGTGCCCAGTACAGGGGGAAAATGAGAGTCTGGAGAAAGCAGTGGCTACTGAGAAGCTGTCCCCAGTTTTATTTTCCCTTCCCATTGGATGTTGCTGGTCAGGAAGCGCGAAACCAAGGAGGTGGATAGAAAGAGAGCTCTAACACCTACCGGACAACCCAGCAGTGGAGAGAGGAGGTAGTCGGCCGTGGGGCTGCGGACGGCCTGGCTGGCCTCACTGCTGCTCCCCGTGCTCCTGCCTGTCCCTCCTCCAGTGGGACTGTCACGCCGTGTGGTCAGAAGGCTGGCTGTGACACCAGCTTGTGGTCCTGCATCCCCATCCCTGGTGGTCACCACATCACCTGTCCCAGGGGAGCGTGGGCAGCCGGTGCCAGGAGGCCGTGGGCGGTGAGCTCCGTGGGACGGGGCTGGGGGGACGGGTGAGGGGGCTTTGGGGACGGGTGAGGGGGCTGGGGGGCCAGCAAGCAGCTGTGGGGAGCAGCCCAGCACGTTGGGGACCAGCCCTCCCTCCGGGGCTTCCAGGCTTGGCTTGGCTTTGCTGAACTCGGACAACACCCTGGAAAAAGAAAAGTGGCCAGTTTGAATGTAGCAATGTTAAAACCAGACCCTATTAAAAAAAAATAAACCCAAACCAACAGTTATTGCTAATTATAAGCACCCAAAAAAAAAGGGCTCAGCATCACCGCTCAACCCCTGTGGGCTGGTAGCGCGGTATGGCTGCAAAAAACCCTGCTCACAGAAAAATGTGGGATTTGTGCCCTGCAGAGCAGAAATCAAGGACCCTGCCTGCAGAGGATGCTTTTCCTACCACACCTGTTATTGGGTTTTAATTTCACAGAATCACAGAATCACAGAAACTTCTAGGTTGGAAGGGACCTTAAAGATCATCTTGTCCAACCGTCAACCCAACTGACAAAAATAGACACCCCCACAACAAACAAGGAGCATCATCACTAAACCAGACCTCCCAGCACTACATCAACCCGGCTTTTGAACACCTCCAGGGATGGGGCCTCAACCACCTCCCTGGGCAGCCCATTCCAATGCCTGAGAACCCTTTCAGTGAAAAAATTTTTCCTAATATCCAGCCTGAACCTCCCCTGGCGTAACTTGAGGCCAATTTCCTTCTGATGGAGATCTCTTAATGAAGGGAGAGGCTGGGCACTCCCCACAGCCCCAGCCCCACGTTCAGCTCCCGGACACACTCCAGCTGCAGACCGAGTGCCAAATTTCAAATGTTTTCATAACCGTTAACGAGCAATTAATAGCAGAGCCCGGGCAGAGAAGATGCTGTTCCTGTGGCCCCGCTTCGGTCGAGTTAAACCTCTCTCAAGATTAAAATTCAAAACGACGTCTTTCCATCACGGGTTTAATCCCATCGAGGCAGGTTCTTCCAGGATCATCATAAGGTACAAAATCCAACAGGGAGGTAACGACGCCGTTATCCACGGGGAAGGAGAGACACTTAGAGGGCTCTAAACCCTCTCCAAGACCCTGATGGGGAAGGGGGTGCCTTTGCCCACCAGCACCCCAAGGAAAGGCTCCTTCCGAGCCAGGTTTTGAAGGGAAAATATTTACTGATTACTCAGAGCTTATATAACCCCTTGGGAATCTTTGTGCTGGCTGTTTGGCAGAAATAAATCACGAGGATGACAAACTAACAACCTCCCTCCTGTAAATTATCAGCCCAAGCTGCAAATTACAACCCTTTCCTGTGACCCAACTCATTTATTTCCCCCCCCTCAAGCCCCACAGAAAGCCCTGGAGCATCCCCCAGCGTACGCCGGGGAGATGTGACATTCCTGAAACCGGGGAGCAGCATTTTTCTGACGTTTCTGTCCAGGTAAAGAGGACAGACCCACACTTCAGTGGCCAGGAGCTCATTTGCCGTGGCAGCAGCGTCCCAGCAAGATGTGCTGAGCGTTTCTTTTTACCATTCTGGCTCTTTCCAAGGGGAAAAAAAATCAGCTTGTTAAAGAAAATCAGGGGAGGAAGCTTTCCTGCTTATAGCGAGGAAATAAATAAGAGCCCAGGAGGGGGTTAATAATCATAGAATCATGGAATCAATGGGGTTGGAAGGGACCTCTGGAGACCATCCAGTCCAACCCCCTGCCAGAGCAGGGCCACCCAGAGCAGGTCCCCACAGGAACGTGTCCAGTGGGGTTTGAATGTCTCCAGAGAAGGAGACTCCACCACCTCCCTGGGCAGCCTCTGCCAGGGCTCTGCCACCCTCACAGCAAAGAAGTTCCTCCTCATGTTGAGGTGGAACTTCTTATATTCAAGCTTGTGCCCATTTCCTCTTGTCCTGTCCCTGGGTATCACTGAAAAAAGCCTGGCCCCATCCTCCTGACACCCACCCTTGAAGTATTTATAGGCATTGATCAGATCCCCCCTCAGCCTTCTCTTCTCCAGACTAAAAAGCCCCAAGTCCCTCAGCCTCTCCTCATCAGAGAGATGCTCCAGGCCCCTCATTATCTTTGTAGCCTCTGCTGTCCCCTCTCCAGCAGTTCCCTGTCCTTCTGGAACTGGGGAGCCCAGAACCGGAGCACCTGGGCACCACTGAAAAAAGACCAGCCCCATCCTCCTGACACCCACCCTTGAAGTATTTATAGGCATTGATGAGATCCCCCCTCAGCCTTCTCTTCTCCAGACTAAAAAGACTCAAGTCCCTCAGCGTTTCCTCGTAAGAGAGATGCTCCAGGCCCTTCATCATCCCTCAATCCCTCTGAAAGGAGATGTAGGAGAAGACTCACTCTTGCAGCGACCTGTCCAGGTCCTCGGTGGTGGTGGTCCCCAGGTCGGAGTCGCAGGAGAGGGGCTCCTCGCCCCGCTCGGGGCTGCGGGCGCAGGGAGCCGGGGGGACGCTGTCGGAGCCCAGGCTGGAAGAGAGCTGGGAGGAGCTGGTGGTGTTGAGGCTCAACGAGGAGGACGTCAGCTTGATCTTGCCACCACCAGCTTTGCCGATGGGGAGGACGGAGGGTTGGATCTCGATCTCGTCTGACCCCGAGGACTGGGAGATGGAACCCAGCGAGGCTTTTCTACGGGGTTCGGATGTGGAGGACGTGAGGGGCTCCAGCAGCTCCGAAACGGGGCACAGACCCGAGAGGGACAGAGGGGTGATGGTCCACTCGTTCAAAACCGCCGATTTATAGGAGAGCTGGAAGGTTAAGGAGGTTAAACCCTGCAAATAGCTGAGGAGAAACTCGCACTCTTCGGTGTCCAAGAGCAGAGCGGTGGCCTGGTAGTATTCGGGCAGCCGGGACCTCTCCCGCAGCAGGAGCTGGAGGTAACATTCCACCAGGCCATCGTTCAAAGCCAACCGCAGCCAGGCTCGGCACCGCCCCACGTCCGTGTTGATAAAGATAAGTTGTTCCAGCTCCGAGACAATATTTCTAGGAAGAGGGGGAAAAAAAAAAGCAAAATAGGACGTGAGCGTCTCATTTTTCGGTCCATCACGGGGTGATGGAAGGGACTCAATGGCTCAAAGTCCAGATGGAAACCAGTCACAAGTGGTGTTCCTCAAGGGTCCGTGCTGGGGCCGGTGCTGTTTAACATTTTTATCAATGATATAGACAGGGGGATTAAAGGCACCATCAGCAAGTTTGCGGACGATACCAAGCTGTGTGGTGTTGTGGATACACCAGAGGGACGGGATGTCATCCAAAAGGACCTGGACAGGCTGGAGAGGTGGGCCCAGGTGAACCTCATGAGGTTCAACAAGAGCAAATGCAGGGTTCTGCACCTGGGCCGGAACAATCCTCGCCACCAATACAAACTGGGGGGTGAGGGATTGGAAAGCAGCCCTGAGGAAAGGGACTTGGGGGTGTTGGTGGAGGAGAAGCTGGACATGAGCAGGCAGTGGGCAGCTGCAGCCCAGAAGGCCAATCCCATCCTGGGCTGCATCAAAGGATGCGTTGCCAGCAGGTCCAGAGAGGGGATTCTGCCACTTTACTCTGCTCTGGTGAGACCTCACCTGGAGTATTGTGTGCAGGGCTGGAGCCCTCAATATAAGGTCATGGACCTGATGGAGAGGGTCCAGAGGAGGGCCACAAGGATGATCAGGGGGATGGAGCACCTCTGCTCTGAGGACAGGCTGAGGGAGCTGGGGTTGTTCAGCCTGGAGAAGAGGAGGCTCCGGGGAGACCTAATAGCAGCCTTCCAGTACCTGAAGGGAGCTACAGGAAGGCTGGGGAGAGCCTGTTTAGAAAGGCCTGCAGTGACAGGACGAGGGGCAATGGCTTCAAGCTGGAGGGGAACAGATTTAGACTGGAGATGAGGAGAGGGTTCTTCACTGTGAGGGTGGTGGAGCACTGGAACAGGTTGCCCAGGGAGGTGGTTGAGGCCCCTTCCCTGGAGATATTCAAGGAGAGGCTCGACGAGGCCCTGGGCAACCTGGTCTAGTTGGGGGTGTCCCTGCTGACTGCGGGGGGGTGGGACTAGATGGCCTTTGGAGGTCCCTTCCAGCCTGGACCATTCTATGATTCTATGATTCCATATCGAGGTGATGGAGGGGAAGATCCTCCATGAGGAACCACCCAACCTGCTCTGCTCCACCATCCAGATTCTTAATGAAGATTTTGAACAGGACTGGACCTGGTATTGATCCTGGGAACACACCACCAGTTACTGGCCTCCAACTAGACCTTATGCTGCTGATCACCACCCTCTGCACCTGACTGTTCAGCCAGTTTTGAAATCCCTCTCATATTCATTCGAACCAAACTTTAGGGCTTTTATACTTCATGATAAAGCTGAGTCTTTGGGTCATTAATAAAGCTGAAAAAAACCCAGCCCTGTACAGGTCTAATTGTAAAATGCAACCATCCAAATTTTCCACAGATCTTCAACACTTAGGAGCTGTAAGCACTCCTGAAAAAAGCCACTGAAATTATGACATAGTTGTTGAGTCATTAAACTAAGTGGAAGAAACTACCACTTCGATCAATACACACTCAGCTCTGATCTTAAAACTCCCGAGTTGTACAATTTGACTTCTTTGAACATTTTCTTGAACAGCCGTTTGTTTTTTTTTCCACATTTTTGTATCAGTTTTAGCTGATCTTTTTTAGGAGTTGGGTCAAAAAAATGGCTGTGGAAAAATCTCTTTCCTCCACGAAAACGTGGTTTCCCATGGAGAAAAAAGAGCTGCTGAGCTCTCCAAAGCTTAATATATTGGTAACGACCCCAAGTGCCCCCGGGGTGCCTCTGGGGCTGCTCTTCTCTCTGGCTGGAGGCTTCTCCCACACATGGCTCCCCCTGGATGAAGGATACAGAGGGGGACATCCCCGCTGTCCCAGCACGGTGGTGGGACACACTCAGGCTGTCCACTCCTTGGTGAGAACCATGTGTCTGAATCCCAGCTTCAAGTCTAAAACGAGCCAAAACACAGCAAAAACCGCTGCAGCAGCCCCCAAAAGGAAACCAGGTCAGGTTGAGCTCCCTCAAGCAATCTCAGCCTCCTGACTTCCACCATTCTCCCCCAAAATCCAACAGCGACACCACGCTCCCTAAATCCTCCCCAGCCCCAGCTCACGTCGCTGCTGCAGATGCTACAAGAAAACAAATCAAAAGTTTTCTAAGTGGGTTTTTTTAAGTCTGTCTCTCAAAAAAGAAGAAAAAAATACCTTCAAAGGGCACAAAAATATCCCCCGTAGCATGTGAAAGAGTTATTTTCATCTGCTCTTTCATAATTTAAGAGTCGGTGACGGGGTTGGATGAGGCTTTCAAAACTCTTTGCGTGTGGGCTGTTATTTTGTGTGGGAGGGCTCTGCTCAGGGAGCGGCTCAGAAAAACCCCAGCAAACACCAAGAGTTGCCCAGGCGAGACCTCCCCAGAGCCCACGGGTCAGGGAGGGAGGTGTTCATCCCAGCTGGGACACGGAGGCTCAATGTCCCCAGGAGAGACTGTATCAGGACCAGCGTGGGGAGTAGGGCCCGAGAGGTGATTGTCCCCCTGTACTGGGCACTGGTGAGGCCTCACCTTGAGTACTGTGTCCAGTTTTGGGCCCCCTACCATAAAAAAGACATTGAGGTGCTGGAGCGGGTCCAGAGAAGGGCAACAAAGATGGTGAGGGGTCTGGAGAATAAGTCTGATGAGGAGAGGCTGAGGGAACTGGGGTTATTCAGCCTGGAGAAGAGGAGGCTGAGGGGAGACCTTATTGCTCTCTCCAACTCCCTGAAAGGAGGGTGTAGAGAGGTGGGGGTCGGTCTCTTTTCTCAAGTCACAGGCGACAGGACGAGAGGAAATGGCCTCAAGTTGCGCCAGGGGAGGTTCAGGCTGGATATTAGGAAAAATTTTTTCACTGAAAGGGTTCTCAGCCCTTGGAATGGGCTGCCCAGGGAGGGGGTTGAGGCCCCATCCCTGGAGGGGTTCAAAAGCCGGGTTGATGTAGTGCTGGGAGGTCTGGTTTAGTGATGATGCTCCTTGTTTGTTGTGCGGGTGTCTATTTTTGTCAGTCAGGTTGATGGTTGGACAAGATGATCTTTAAGGTCCCTTCCAACCTAGAAGATTCTGTGATTCTGTGAGAAGAGAGACCACTGTGCATCCCGTGCCGTGCCGCTGCTGTACACCAGTGTGGTCACCGGGGTCCCACTGGGGACACGGAGCAGCCACACACAGCCTGGTACCCAAAAATATAATAGCAAGGACTGTGCCCTAAGCTGGCAGCAGCATTTCATTCCTTACCTGTCTGGGGACACTGGCTCAGCCCTAAATGGCACTTTGTCCCTTGCAGGTGCTGGTGCAAGCACTGGGTGCAGCGCTTGGCATCGCAGGGGCTTGGCTCTCCCACCTGCACATCCCAGTGCTCCCCAGCACCCCAAAACCCTCCATGAGAGCACCTCTCCCTCCAACTGAAGGGATGGAGCACACAGGACGGGGTAGAGACATATCTTTCCATCGACCCATCCTCCTGTTCACCATTCCTGGAATTTTATGGCTTTGGCATGAAGAACCTCTACTCTGCACTGGGGAGGCCACAACTGGAGTACTGCGTCCAGTTCTGGGCTCCCCAGTTCAAGAGGGACAGGGAACTACTAGAAAGAGTCCAGCGAAGGGCAACAAAGATGATTCAAGGATTGGAGCATCTCCCTTATGAGGAGAGACTGAGAGAGCTGGGACTCTTTAGTCTGGAGAAGAGAAGGCTGAGGGGAGACCTAATCAATGCTGACAAGTATCTCAAGGGAGGGTTGAGGGAGGAGGGAGCCAGACTCTTTTCAGTGGTTCCCAGTGAGAGGACGAGGGGCAACGGGCACAAGTTGGACCATAAGAGGCTCCACTCAAATATGAGGAAAAACTTCTTCACAGTGAGGGTGGCAGAGCCCTGGAACAGGCTGCCCAGGGAGGGTGTGGAGTCCCCTTCCTTGGAGATTTTCAAGACCCACCTGGATGCTCCTGAGTAACATGCTCTGACAAGCTCTGGGCAATCCTGCTTCAGCAGGGGAGTTGGACTAGATGATCTCTATGGTCCCTTCCAACTCTAAAAATTCAGTGAAAATTCAGTGAAACCTGAGCGTTGCAAACGCCTTTCGGGGATGGGCACTCACCGGTGGGTGATGCTCTTCAGCAGCCCCCAGAAGACGGGCTGGGGAAGGGGTCCCCGACCCCCCGTTTTCTTCCCTTTCCCCCCGCTCTCTGCCTTGATGTGCTTGGCCTTCAGCCCGTGCACGAAGACGGCCTCCAGGGCGCTGCAGAGGGTGTTGGCGTTCCCATCGTCGCTGGTCACCACGGCGTCCGAGCTCACGTACTGCTTCTGCAGCGCCTTGATGGCGTTCACCAGCTGCTTCTTGATCAGCTGCAAGACAGGAGGTTATGAAAAAAAAAATCACCATTAGGAAAGATTTCATAGAAAAGGGCTCAAAAAACCCTGTGAGGCTCGTGCAGAGCGAAGCACTGTGCAACAACTCCTCCATCCACACGCTTCAGGGTGGCTGTTTGGGAGCACCTACAGCCGAAGGGGTCACGCTGGGGCATCACAGCTCATTTGGATTTTTCTGGTTTTAAAAATGAGCAACTTCTGCAATTTTAGCTGGTGTTTCAGGGCCCAGCGGGTTGCTGGGGATGCCTTTAGAGCGCGTGGCGCTTCCTCTGCAGACACCAAATTGCTTAAGAGGACGGGGAGAAAGAAAGAAAGAAATCGGCTTTTTTTGGGTGTTTGCTCGGGGAAAACACGGTGATTAAATGAGCAGGGGTGAGAAGGGAGAAACTCGAAGGAGGGAACCTGGAACAAGGGCTGTGATACCACTTGAATTCATGCAGAGCAGCATGTGACACGCTAACGAGCCCCGCTAACGAGCCCCGCCAGCAGTAATCAAAGCCATTGATGTCCCCCGCACTCCCAGCAGCTCCTCTGTGTTGACGAACCCACGGGCGCTGCTGGGGATGG